GCGCACCCCACACTCGATCCCATCGATCCCACCGCACCCCACACTCGATCCCATCGATCCCACCACACCCCACACTCGATCCCATCGATCCCACCGCACCCCACACTCGATCCCACCGATCCCTTTCACCCCACACTCGATCCCATCGATCCCGTGCCACCCCACACTCGATCCCATCGATCCCTCGCACCCCACACTCGATCCCATCGATCCCGCTCACCTGAAGGTGGACTTGTCGAAGCGAATGCCGGGGGGGAAGGGGCTGAGGGCCTCCGCGACTCGAATGGAATCCCGCGGGGACTTTTCGGGGCTGACTGGGGGATCGATCCCAAGCGATCCCAGGCAGAAGCGGCTGAGTCGCTGCAGCGCCTCGGCCACTCCCGTGGAGGGGCCCACCCCCATGCTGCTGCTGCTGCTGCTGCTGCTGCTGCTGCTGCTGCTGCTGCTGCTGGTTGTTGCGGAGGAGGAGGCGGGGGGCGCAGCGGGGGAAGACAGGGAAGCAGAAGAGGAAGCCAGCGGGCTTGCTGCTGAGGGAGAGGGCGGGGAGCCTGCTGCTGCTGCTGCTGCTGCTGCTGCTGCTGCTGCTGCTGCGGGTCCTGCTGCTGCTTCTGCTGCAGCACAGGCCTTTATCGGCAAGTAAAGCTCCCCCGAGAGAGACAGCGAACGAGCTGCTGCGGCCTTTGCTTCTTCGCTGCTGCTCACCTGCTGCTGCTGCTGCTGCTGCTGCTGCTGCTGCTGCTGCTGCTGCGGGTGGTGCAGGTAGTGCGGGTGCGCGCGGTAAGGCTCCTTGCTTTGCTGCTGCTGCTGCTGCTCCTCCTGACGCTGCGCTGACGGCTGAGAAAGCAGCTGCTGCAGCTGCTGCAGCTGCTGCTGCTGCTGCTGCTGCTGCTGCTGCTGCTGCTGCAGGTAATGCCCCCCATGCTCCGTCTGGGGCATTTGTTTTTCTTTTCTTTCGTCAAACAGACTATTCACAAGTGGCTGTGAAGAAACACAAAATAAATAAATAAATAAATAAATAAATAAATAAATAAATAAATAAATAAATAAATAAATAAATAAATAACAAAATAAATAAATAAACAAATAAATAAATAAATAAATAAATAGCCGCCTCGGGGCATTGGCGTCGGAATGGATCCCACGCTCTCCACGCAAGGCAGTCAAAACCCTAAACCCTAAACCCTAAACCCTAAACCCTAAACCCTAAACCCTAAACCCTTTGTTCTTACCTCTTTAGCTGCTGCTGCTTGCGCTCTTTGTTTGCTTTTGACAGTTTTGGTTTTTTGAGGTGTATGTACACCTGAGCGCTGCAGCAGCAAACCCGCTTTAGAGGACGAGGCGCCCCCATTAGCTCCCTCTGCACACAAACCCTAAACCCTAAACCCTAAACCCTAAACACTAAGCCCTAAACCCTAAACCCTAAACCCTAAACCCTAGGGTAACTTCTTCAGCAAAGGGTGTCCGCCCGTGCATGTCTTCGACGCAGCAGTTCGCAGCAGACCAAACGCCGCAACCCCAGCGCCAAACCCCAAACCCTAAACCCTAAACCCTAAACCCTAAACCCTAAACCCTAAACCCTACCTGAGCCAGAAACCCTAGGGTTTAGCAAATGGTCTCTTCTGGTCTGCACTGCCAATTCATAGCCTCGATCAAACCCGAATTTGTGGACTGGAAAATACAACTTCTTCGTGCCGCTCTTCTTCGCCACCTGCGCGACAAACCCTAAACCCTAAACCCTAAACCCTAAACCCTAAACCCTAAACCCTAAACCCTAAACCCTAAATGATCAGCCTTACACGCTAGCCCTTTAGGGAAAGGCCTAATCAGAAACTCTAGACCCTAAGCAATGAAGCGAGGACCCTAAGCCCTAAACCCTAAACCCTAAACCCTAAACCCTAAACCCTAAACCCTCACCCATCTTCTAAAGAATCTGTCGAAACAAACGCCCTCGACTTTGGGCTTTTGTTTTGCTGCTTTCAACAATTGGACGGTTGTGTAGTCTCCGTTTTGCAGCAGCTGCATTTGCTGCCTGTTGCTTGCTGCTGCTGCTGCGTTGCTGCTGCTGCTGCTGCTGCCGCTGCTGCTGCTGCTGCTGCTGCTGCCCTCGCCTGGAGAGACGCTGCTGCTGCTCCCAGTGGGCCCTACTGCTGCTGCTGCTGCTGCTGCTGCCCAGCTTCTGCTGCTGCTGCTGCTGCTGCTGCTGCTGGGGACAAAGGACGGACTCGCAGCGGGAGGGGGAGGCTCTCGCTCCTGCAGCAGCAGCTGCTGCTGCAGCTGCTGCTGCTGCTTCTGCTGCTGCTGCTGCTGCGCCTCCAGCTGCAGCTTTCTGTGGAGAAATGAAACCAGCAGCTGCTGCTGCTGCTGAATCCTTTCTAACTCTTTGGCATTTATAGCCACTGCATGCAAAGGACTTGCATGCTCCTGCATTTGCTGCTGCAGCAGCAGCTGCTGCTGCTGCTGCTGCTGCTGGTCGCTGTGGAAACTGGAAAAGAGGGACCCGCGCAACCCCTGCTGCTGCTGCTGCTGCTGCTGCTGCAGCAGCTGCTGCTGCTGCTTTGGTTGCAGGGACAGCAGCTTTTCTCTAATCGATATGAGGGCGTCTTTAACGCTGGCCAGCTTGCTGCTGCTGCTGCTGCTGCTGCTGCTGGACCTGTTGCTGCTGCTGCTGCTGGACCTGTTGCTGCTGCTGCTGCTGCTGGACCTGTTGCTGCTGCTGCTGCTGGACCTGTTGCTGCTGATGCTGCTGCAGCAGGTGACTAGGAGGCTGCAAGCCGCAGACGCTGCGTGCGCATAAAACGCTGCAGCAGCAGCAGCAGCAGCAGCGTGAGAAGCCACTGCAGCAGCAGCAGCTAATTTAGCAGCAGCAGCAGCAGCAGCAGCAGCAGCTGCAGCGGTGGAGCTGCGAGCCGCCCACAAACAATGAATAAAACTTTGAAACGTTAAAGGACTGAAGTTTAGAGGCCCTAACTTTCGTATGGAGAAGAGCTGCTGCTGCTGCTGCTGCTGCTGCTGCTGCAGCAGCTGCAGCAGGAGAGTGTGCGAGGCACGGGGGCTGCTGCCCGACTGCCGCGCTGCGGGTCGAGGGTTTAGGGTTTAGGGTTTAGGGTTTAGGACGAAGGGCTTGAGGATTGGGGTCCGGGGCGGCTGGGCGGGCCGCGAAGAAGTGGCGGCGGAAGATTAGGGTTTAGGGTTTAGGGTTTAGGGTTTGGGGCAGCAGCGAAGGTGTGCAGCGGCGGCGCGGCGAGGTGTCTGTACACCGGAACTGCCAACGCCAAACCCCACTGAAATTAAAAAGAAATAAAATTAATAATAAATAAAAGAAATAAAAACCCTAGAAGTGGAAAGAGCAGCATTTGCTGCTGCTGCTGCAGCGCAGCGCGAGCAGCAGCAGCTCGAGCGGCTGCTGCTGCCAGGGGAGCAGCAGCGCGCGCTGCAGCAATTCGGAGTTTGCAATTCGAAATATTAAATTAAAAAGAAATAAATAATTTAAAATTTAATTTAATTTTAATTTTAATTTCATTTCCCTTTTTTCTTCTTCTTTCCGCGGCCCGCGCGAGCCCATCGACGAGCCTTCTCGGGGCCCTGAGCCCAAACCCTAATTTAGGGTTTTCCCTCTTCTTTTCTTTCCGCTCATTCGCCTTTAATTCGTCCATTTAAACCCTTTTTCGCAAACAAACGCCAACTAGGGTTTAGGGTTTAGGGTTTAGGGTTTAGGCCTTGGGGTCCCAGACGCACGCCTGCGCCGCATTGAGCCGACCGCTCCCATCGATCCCTGTCGAGGGTTTAGGGTTTAGGGTTTAGGGTTTCGGGTTTTGGGCTGCGTCTGCCCCTTCAAAACCCTTTTTTAGGGTTTTTGTTTTGCTTTGCTTTTTATTTGCTTCGGGTTCATCTTGAGTGCTTCGTTTTTGCCCGAGTTCCCACCCTGTGCAAACTCGCCCCTGTCCCCCAAACCCCAAACCCTAAACCCTAAACCCTAAACCCTAAACCCTAAACCCTAAACCCTAAACCCTCAGCAAACTTATATGAACTAATCTGCAATAAATTCTCAAAGAGGGAAAACAACCCCAAAATACAAACCCTAAACCCTAAACCCTAAACCCTAAACCCTAGAGCTAGCCGGCCTTAGACTCAGGATCGCGACTGAAACAACCCTAAACCCTAAACCCTAAACACTACTCAGAAAATAAACCCTAAACCCTCAAAGGCGCGTAAACCCTAAACCCTAAACCTAAACTGTAGATAAAGTCGGAGACCCAACCCTAAACCCTAGCCAAAGCAAGAACCCTAAACCCTAAACCCTAAACCCTAAACCCTAGCGAGAGCGAAATTCCTAAGCCTTAAACCCTAAACTCTGAACCCTAAACCCTAAACCCTAAACCCTAAACCCTAGTGAGAGCGTAATCCCTAAACCCGAAGTCAATGTTCGGGCCTGAGCAGCAAGCCCCAAGCGCCGCGCGGCAAGTCCTAAACCCCAAACCCTAAACCCTAAATTAGGGTTTACGAACATGCATCGCGTTTGGCTGTGAGCCCACAAAAGAGGCTGCTGCAGCAGCAGCAAATTGAAGCAGACACATGCTAGCAGCAAAACTCCCCACAACTAAACAAAGAAAAGAAATGCGAGACAAATCACCCAGCATTGCTGCTGCTGCTGCTGCTGCTGCTGCGTCTGCTGCTGCTGCTGCAGTGGCTGCTGCCTCTGCTGCTGCACCTGCTGCTGCTACTGCTGCAGCAGCTGCTGCTGCTGCAGCTGCTGCTGCGGGCTGTCTTGACCGATCTTTATTCTTGCTGCTGCTGCTGCTGCTGCTGCGGATTAGTTTAGAAGAAATGAAACAAATGCAGCAGCAGCAGCAGCAGCAGCAGCAGCTCTATGTACACCCCGCTGCCTCTAGGCATATTTATTTATTTCCATTTTTACTTTTCATATTTCTCATTGTTTACTTTTTAGATTGCTTCCGAGGAGCAGCAGAGAGCATCTTTGCTGCTGCTGCTGCTGCTGCTGC